AACCCTCTAACTATTAATTACATAACTACCCAAAGTGTCGGTCTAAGGATCCCGAAGAATCCGCCGAACAAATCAAAGTAATTATTAATTAATAAAAGAGTCTATACTTTTTTCATGCTTAAGAGTCAAATACCATGACGGTGATAGGGAGTAATTGCATACGACGGCTCTCGCAATATATCTCAACCTAACGCGGATCCTATTCAAGTCTTAATTAATTATGAGTCCATCCATAATTACCGACTATGAACAATTTATAATTACTATTTATATATCATGCATTGATTGCCATCACACACTATCAATTTCATAGTGAATCGAAACATAATACATTGAATTCACCAATTATATAAATCATAAATATTTCAGATATGTCAGAAACATATGTCACTATAATCCAGATAGGAATTTGCTATGCCAGGACATATAAATCCCAACAGATAATTAGTACTTACTGTCGAAGCTTTTAATTTCTATAAGAGTGAAGCTCAAAAAATCACTCTGTATTTTTTAAAGTGTGCAAGTAACATCATTAATATTCAAAAGTTACCTTTGTAGTTTCAAAATTGTGCAAATAAGGACTTCTGACCCTAGAATTGACTTGGGCGGGTCAAGTGATGAAAAAAGAGTATTTAATACCAACAATGTCCTTTTGGAGTACCCAAATTACCCTTTACTCATTTACATATGAGTAATGATAGAATTCAGAAAAACTCCCGAAATCTAATTTGACTAAGTTATGTCAAAAAAAAAAAAAAATACATTTTGTAGAACTTTAAAAACTCTCAAGATTTGGATATATACAACACTTCTCCTCAAGTATCACCTTTTGTAAAATTACTCTTGATCCTAGTTTTGTAGAACTTTAATAGAATTCCTTATAAATTTTAAAATAATAAATATTTAGTTTATACAGAGTATATATAATATTGTATTTGTATGGTTAAAAAAAATTTTACTTTGTAAATTTAAATTTATGGAACCGGGGAAGAAGTAATTTTTCGTATAATTTTAGAGAGTATATATAATATTGTATTTGTATGGTTAAAAAAAATTTTACTTTGTAAATTTAAATGTATGTTTCTTTTGCTCTTCTTATAATTTTATAATTTTAGAGAGTTTTTAATTTCCTGTTTGCCAAGAAAGAAGAAAGCACTATGTTTTTTATTTTCTTTCCTTTTTTTCCTTTTGTGCCGCCGTCCTCCGCTGCTGACCCACACCCAGTAACTTCCTATTTTTTATCTGACCCACTAAACTCTCCTCTGGAATTCCCTCCATCACAATGGCCAAACAATCTTCGTCGACGAACACTCTGGTTGGCAAAATTGAAGAGAAACACCCGGAAATTGAAGCTGCGACGTTCAATTCACCACCAAAGTGAGCGTTTTATACGACCTTATTCACCACAAGAGAGAGCAAATTTGGAAGGAGTGTAACCCTGTACAGAGCCTGCTCTTCTCGGACTGCAAATTGGGGATTAATGACCTTCCCAATCATGTGTACGAAGTGGGCTGGGATGTAATGTTGGTGGACGGGCAAAGTGGGAATTTTTCGGCAGCGCTGGGGTTGATGGCCTCGATATTCACCGCCCGCGTGCTGGCCAGAAGAATGGGAGGAAGCGGTTGAGGAAAGACCCATGTGTTACTACTTCGATCGTCTTTATGTGTGTTGGTTGTGAGGCTGTTTTGGGAAGAAGTAGTGGCATGAACCATTGAGGTTGAGTTTGGGAAGAAGTAGTGGCATAAACGCTATTTGTGCTTAATTACCCAAAACGACGCTTTTAGAGTTGTGTCTATTTGGATAATTTCAACTTGTAACCATTTTTTAATATTATTCTATAAAGAATATTTGAAGGCATTTGTATATTTACCTATCCCTTTTACAAGAAACTCTTATTTACAAAATTTTGAAACTATTGGATAGTTTTGAACACCATTCACAGTTGTAGTTATGGTTGGTTAATTTTAAATACATTAATTACTTTGACTTTCTATTCTTATGGAACCCTATCAACATTACTTTTTAGACAAAAATATCATTTTAAATTATGTCTTTCTTTTTATCTCCTTTTTTAATCGATTCATATGGAGATGTGTGCGTATTTATATATATATATAATAATTATTAATCGATTCATATAGAGATGTGTGCGTATTTATATGTATATATAATAATAATAATAATTATTATAACTAATGTGCTGTGAATGGATGCAAAATAGAAATGCTATCCTAAACAAAAAAAAAAAAACAAGATAGATTCTTAGATTTAAAAAAGATATATACAAAATTTGTTTTATATACATATATATTTCTTTTTTGGTGAATGAATTATTTTATTTTCTTTTATTTCATTTTTTTTTTCTTAAAATCCATTTATAAAAGGATAGTTGTAAAAATAAAAAATAAAAACAAAAAGAAACATATATCTATATATATATATATATAGGAAAAAACAAAAAAAGAAGAAATATATAATCAATTTTTTTTTTTTGACCTTTCTTTGTATTCTTTTTGGATTTTTTTCTCTTCTGACTGAATTATTCTATCTATATATTTTTTCCTTTTTCAGAATACATAGATAGGATAATTCATTCACAAGAAAAAAAAATCTAATAAGAATAACAAGAAAGGTAAAAAAAAAAAGAAAAAAATTCAAAATCGATTATATATTTCTTCTTTTTTTGTTTTTTCCTATATATATATATATGTTTATTTTTGTTTTTATTTTTTTATTTTTACAACTATCCTTCAATAAATGGATTTTAAGGGAAAAAAAAATGATATAAAAGAAAAGAAAATAATTCATTCACCAAAAATGAAATATATACGTATATAAAACTAATTTTGTATATATCTTTTTTAAATCTCATAATCTATATCTTGTTCTTTTTTCTTCCTTTTTTTTTCAGATTTTTTTCTATCTATCTATCTATCTTCTGCTTCTGCTTCTTCTGCTCCTCCTCCTCCTATATATATATATATATATATATATATATATATATATATATATATATGTTTATTTTTGTTTTTATTTTTTTATTTTTACAACTATCCTTCAATAAATGGATTTTAAGGAGAAAAAAAAATGATATAAAAGAAAAGGAAATAATTCATTCACCAAAAATGAAATATATACTTATATAAAACTAATTTTGTATATATCTTTTTTAAATCTCAGAATCTATATCTTGTTCTTTTTTCTTCCTTTTTTTTTTCAAATTTTTTTCTATCTATCTATCTATCTTCTGCTTCTGCTTCTTTGCTCCTCCTCCTCCTCCTCCTCCTCCTATCTATTTTTTTTTTTTTTTTTCCTTTTCCTTTTTCAGCATCCATTCATAGCACATTAGTTATAATAATAATAATTATTATTATTATTTATATATACATACATGCATTCGCACACATCTCTATATATATACATACATACATTCGCACACATTTCCATACGAATCGATTAAAAGAGGAGATAAGAAGAAAGACATAATTTAAAAGGGTATTTTTGTTTAAAAAGTAATTTTAATAGAATCCCATAAAAATAGAAAGTTAAAGTAATTAATGTATTTAAAGCTAACCAATCATAATTGCGACTGTAATTGGACAGTCGCTTCCGCGACTACAATTAGCACTCCTTTGTTTGAAATTTAGAGGAGTTTATTGCACTTCACCCATTTCTAAAATGGTAGGAATGTTTATTAATGGGCTATTGGGCTTTGGGCGTATCTGTCTTGGGCTGTAACGTGGCCTTTTGTTTCGGGTTAGAAACGTTGCTTTCCAATTATTGTTCATACGGCCTATTGGCCCAGCCCATTTGTGAGGCTCTCGTGCAATTTACTACTTTACGTACATGTACTTGCTTAATCGTTCCAACATGTACCCACACAGGTAAATTATACTTATCTTTCTTTCTTGAGATTTAGGCAACTTACTTGCTTGTTTGGCCTTTATTACTTTGATATTTTTTAAGATTTGGACTACTGACTTACTTTCACAATTCTTGAAATTTGGGTATGTGTTCAAAGACACTCTATGTTGATTTTATTTATTTACAGAGTGTCCACTAGAGACATTAATGCACCGGCTATTGAGGGATCTGAACTCTCTGCTGATAATAAAATATTCAAAAAATGACTAAGTTTCCATTTTCTTGTACTAAAAGACCTTAAAACCTTATATTTTAAAATAAAATTGACAAAAGTACCATGAATGGCATTAAAATCCGAAGTTTAATTTTCACACTAATTTTAATTTATTAAATTTTACAAAAACAAATTATTTATTTTTAATGACATTTGATTAGGTGTCTTTTTAGGATTGGATTAGGTTTCTCTTTTTTTCTTTACAAAAAAAGAAAAAAAAAAAATAAAAAAAAAAATAGCAGGTACTGTCACACGGTGACAAAAACCATTTCAAGTCCAAGATATCACAAATGAGTCATGTGAATAATATGTTTGGGACCATGATTTTATGCATTACTTTTGTATTCACCTAATTTCAAGTTCTGACCCTATTGAAGCTCCGTATTTATGATTGTCCTCAGCTGATTTTTGAAGTTGTTCCCTCCGTGATTTTATCTCGCTTCCAATCCTCGTGATGGCTCACGGTCACGAAGTAGAAATCATAGCTCACTTAATGCAACATAAAATGTTACTGTTTTCTTCTACCTAGACTAGACTTTACAGGTGACACCGATTGTGATGGGCAATTATCACAGCTCCTACCAATAATTTAGAAATGGAGAATTCTCAAAAAGAATAAAAAAATAAAAACATGTCTCTCAATTGGTTAGGGGTGCCACCTAATAAATATCTTGTGATACAAGTACTTGAAATAGAGAAAAACAAAAACTTATGTTACAAACGTTATAAACATGTAAGAAAACAACTCCTATATAAACCTGCATCTCTATTATCTTCTCCCATAGCCATAGTTAGTTATTCCTAGCATAAAAACCACCATATATATATATATATATATATATATATATATATATATATATATTTTGATCCAAATGGGTTCTGAGTCTTCTGAGAGTGCCAACATTAGTGAAGAAGAAAACATTTTCACCAAAACTATGAACCCACAAGACCCTGAGGAATTCAGGAGACAAGGCCACATAGTCATAGATTTCCTAGCTGACTATTACAAGAAGGTCCAGAAATACCCGGTCCGAAGCCAAGTCGAACCGGGTTATCTCCGAAAACGTTTGCCAGAGTCAGCCCCAAACAACCCTGAACCTATTGAAACAATTCTCCAAGATGTGGAGACTGATATTATTCCTGGTCTAACTCATTGGCAAAGTCCAAACTTCTTCGCTTACTACCAATCAAACGCAAGCACTTCTGGCTTTCTAGGTGAAATGCTCTTGTCCGGCTTTAATGTGGTCGGATTTAGTTGGATATCGTCCCCGGCCGCCACTGAGCTAGAGAGCATAGTCACGGATTGGCTTGCAAAGTTGCTTAAGCTTCCCAAGTCATTCCTTTTCAGTGGTGGTGGTGGGGGTGTGATACATGGTAGTACTTGCGAGGCCGTTTTGTGCACCCTAACCGCCGCTAGAGATCAAAAGCTGAGCCAAATTGGTAGAGAGAACATAGGGAGGCTAGTCGTCTATGGGTCCGATCAAACCCATTCTGCATTCCACAAAGCAGCTCAGATTGCCGGTATTGCTAAGAAATTTTAATTTTATGCTCGTATATCAAATATATTTATGCTAAATTACACTCAATTTTTCTCATGCAAATATGCAAATTATGAATTGATTTGGAACAGGTATCCACCCCAAGAATTTTCGAAACATCTTGTCAACGAAATCTACAGAATTCACCCTATCTCCAGATTCATTACTGTCCACAATTGTATCAGATGTGAAAAATAGGTTGATCCCATTGTATCTATGTGCCACAGTTGGGACAACTCCAACGGGTGCTGTTGATCCACTGGGACCAATATGTGATGTTGCAAAACTATATGGCATTTGGGTTCACGTCGACGCCGCTTATGCCGGGAGTGCATGCATTTGCCCGGAGTTCAGACACTTCATTGATGGAGTAGAAGGTGCAACCTCATTTAGCTTCAATGCACACAAATGGTTGTTGACTGGACTTGATTGTTGCTGCGTTTGGGTTAAAGACCCAAGTGCCCTTGTGAAGGCTCTCTCAACATACCCTGAGTACTTGAGGAACAAGGCCACTGATTCAAAGCTGGTGGTTGACTACAAAGACTGGCAAATATCCCTAAGCCGTCGATTCCGAGCCATGAAGCTATGGATTGTGCTCAGAAACCATGGAGTAACTAACATTAGAAACTTCATAAGAGGTCATGTTGAAATGGCCAAGCATTTTGAAAGGCTTGTAGCAAGTGACAAGAGGTTTGAAGTTGTGGTGCCTAGAAATTTCTCTATAGTATGTTTTAGGGTTTTGCCATCAGCAGCAATATGTGCTTGTTCTGATATTGATGATGGTTATAAGGGGTTGTTATGTGCTAACGAGTTGAACCGTGAGTTACTGGAGTCCATTAATGGGTCTGGCCGACTGTACATGACTCATGCAGTGATCGAAGGGGTCTACGTGATTCGATTCGCCATTGGCGCCACGCTAACCGACCTTCACCACGTGAACATGGCTTGGAAGGTGGTGCGTGAGCATGCAGATGCCATGCTTATTTAGCAAGTTCTAAACATTGTGAGCTTCCTCTGAGGGTCCACAAGTGGAATTAATGGAAATAAAGGAACCGAGTTTCTATATTGTATTCTTGTATTTTTATTTTATTTTATTTTAAACATTTGTATTGTATTCTTGTTTGTCGAGGATGAATTTGGAAAACTAAATAAAATAAAAATTGCTTCTTTTTCTTTTCCTATCTTTTCTATTTTTTTTCATTAGCAAGAAAGACATTCCATTAATATCCAATTTCATCCATGTGAGACTAGAACCATCAAGAAAGTACCTCCACACTTTTAATCTTAGAATTTTTTGGTAAGGAAGAAAGGAATGGTTAGCTATTATGGATATTAATTTCCTTCAACCTACTCATTCAAGAATCAATTGATGTTGAGAGTTAAAACTCTCTTCATTATATATAACAGAAGCATCATTCTCATATCAACCACACATATATATACAAAAATAAAAACCATACATATTTACACAGAACATGATATTTTACATGGTTCACAATATTATTATGAATCAAGAATAAGGATATACAATCATATGTCAAAACCTTACTCACACTCTTTCATCACACAATGCTACTTCTTTACACATGAGAATTATATATATTTTCCCCTCTCCTCACAACACTCATCAATCCTTTACATTTTCCTCGCTCCCTCTCTCACAAACTATTCTATTTATAGTCTTCAAACCAAAAAAAAATAATAAAATAAATAAAATAAAATATATTATATTATTATTTTATTGCTCATAAATTAAATAGTGAAAAATTTGCTATGTTAGCCGCCATTACTTTTTGAATAAACAATGTGATTTTACCATGATATCCATGCATCATGGCTAACCGTATCGTTCTTAGTAACAATATGACGGAATAAGCTTTGCTTACTTTTAAAATTATGATTTTAACCTAAATAAAATTCATTCTATTAAAAACATAATTTGAAATTAAACATATATAATCCCATATTAAAGAAATATTAACATTTATCATATCTTCTAAAGAATGCTCAAACCACGTGACAAAAATAGAGAAGTGAAAAAAAAAAAAAAAAAAAAAAGAAAAAAAGAAAAAAGAAAAGAGCGCAATTTATCATAATTTTTAAATACAACACATGTTTAGGCAATTAGCCGACTCTGTTGGTTCGAAATAAAAGTAATGATAATGATAAATAGGGGTATTAGACAAGCAACCATACTTAATAACTTTAATAACTTTAATTAAAAAACGTTTAAAGCGAGAACAAGGAGGCCATCACACAAGAATTAATGGGAACCAAGGAAAAGAGTGGTTAGATTATGACAAATTATGTGTGCGCATTCTTAGAACAACCATTTACAAGTTAAAAAAAATCATAATTATCTTTGTTTTTGTACGTGGACTGCTTGTACCCCATTGCATTATTGATTAGTACAATTATTCCAATATAATAACGGCAAATTGAATAATTGGAGTTATTTGAACCTACCTAAGTACTTTATATTGTAATATATATCCACGTGACAATTGTGAGATACACAGAATCAGAGTCCGTAGTATAAAAATAACTATAATAACTATCATGTGTCTGTTAAATTTTAATGTGAATAATTGCAACCATGTAGATGGTAATTATAGACTCCGGTTTGCACCATTTGAAAGTCTATAAAGAACTATATTATGCTCTAAACTCATTCATTAACTTCCTTCTCTACTTCCCTATCCAAGTCATAGTATATAATTTTAACTAGTGTTTAGAGAATTCCTTCTATTGTTAATGGCACTGGCACGAATTCTGATTTTGTTTGTATTTTGGGAACGATTTGCCACAAAACCCAATAGGAAACTTGATTTTGTTTGTATTTTGGCAAATAACATTAAAATTTGTTTTGGGTAATTTGTATCAACAATTATTGTGCTCCATCAAGTTACCTAGATGGATTGCAGAAAATATTTTTACCAAGAAATTCTCAATTTTCTGTTGGAAAAGAAGAAGGTTTAGCGTCGTGGCAAAACCCTAAAACATATTTTAGCAAAATGTGTAAGCAACACAACTTCAAACCTCTTGTCACTTGCTACAAGACCTTCAAAATGCTTGGCCATTTCAATATGAACTCTTATATACTGTAGTTTCTAATATTAGCTACACCATGGCTTCTTAGCTCAATCCGTAGCTAGCTTCATGGCTCCAAATAGCTTGGAGAGGAAATAAAAAGAAACTACAAGTTATAGAGTTTCTATGTTGTGTTAGTTCTTGTTTGTCCAGTATGAATTTAAAAAGAAAAAAAGAAATGCTTGTTTTAATCCAAGAAATATGGTTGTGTACGTAGAATCCATCTTGAAATTGATATCAAGTGCGAAGGAAATTTTGGATAAATTTTTGAAAACTTAAAGCAATTAATTCTATATTCAAAATCATAGAACAATTATTGAGAACATATTTTTGCAAGGCTAAATAAAAATCATATAACCGACCAGAAAAGGTGAATAATTTTTATTTCATTTCCATATTCAAATTGCTTTATGTTTTCAAAATTTTGAGTGGGGTCTGAGGGTAAAATTGAGTGTATTAGAATCGTTACAAGCTGTCCCCTTATATCGTCACATTTTAAATGCACTGAAGTTTTGTTCAACTTTTGTACGGTTGATGCACATTCTCTCTTAAAATAAAAGAATACTAAAGATCCGAGACATAGAATTTCTCAATTCTGACAACCAACCAACAAAACAACTTGTTACAAATAACATCTTATCGTTGCATCAAAATATATAAATGTTGACTAATCTGACTAACATTAAACTTGGTAAAATGAAATGGTTGAATAATTGAAAAATGAGATTATTCAGGAATACACATTGAATGCTGAGATTACAATATTATCAAACATGGATATGAAATTTTTTTTTTTTTTTTTTAAAGGTAAAGTTAAATTAAATATATAAAAGAAAAGATGTACAATAATAGCCTGAGGAAGGCTATGTTGATAGTACAAAGCCCAGCCCAATGAGAGCCAGCCCAGCCCAAAAAGAAGCAACAAACTCAATGGAGTCCAACATCCCCAAAGGAAGAAATACACCCGACTGGAACCAGTCTGCAATCCGGTGATCAGCAGAAACTACAACGAGGTGGCTGTTACACCTTTCATCTATCATATATCTATTTTGATTTGCGACAGAGAGCTGAAAGTTCGATACATCCTAGTATTTATGTGGGTAAAAAATGACGTGTACGGATGTATCGAGAAACCGTTGCTGATCAAAAGTAACACATTAATCGATGCACATGCATGAAAACGGGCCTTCAGCCAAAACCAGTCCTAAAGGACATAACCAAAGCCCAACAAAGAGCAAAGAAAGGCATGCAAGCCTAGCCCAATGGACCCATTACAAATCAAACCCAAAATCAAAACCAGATAACCACCATTAACAATCCAAAACCGTAGTGATGGTGGAGGTAATCTTTGCCAAGACAACTTGATGTGAAGATTTCCTCCCTCGAAAGATCCTAGGTGTCAAAGTGAATGTGAGATCTTCGTCTCTATTGGGACAAAGAAACAAAACCTTATTTATAACAGAATTCTGTATGTCATATTAGGCTGTCATGCAAATGCACTAGTAAGTATATATATAGCAGATTGATCCCATTGATACTCAAAGATCCCCACACACAAAATAATTGTACGATAGGAAAAAAATTATCATTTACTTTTTCACTTTATATTTAAATTAAGTAACTACTCTAATCTCACGCACTATGACACACAAACCTATTATCAATTGAATAGTACAAATTCTGTTTGTGCATATATAGAGTTATAGACAAAAATACATATATATATATATATAATATAATAAGGGTCTTTGAATCTAAATCAATAATTCTAACCCCACAATGGGGATATCAGTGAACCGCGGAACAACTATAGAGAGAACCTATTTGGATCAGTTAAAACTAGCTAGTTGAATTTTAAAAAGAAAAATAATTAACCAGGCAACGAGACTATTTGCATGGCAAGCCAAACTACTCTCCATCGTGTGCGACGACCTATGTTTTGATTCCACACCAACCATTGTGTGAATGGAGAGCCCTTCGACTTACCATAATCGAACCAGTCACCGCTCTTTTAAAAACTACTACACCCTAACAATGATAGGAAAATATCCTAACCCAGCACTTCTAACACAAAAAAAAAAAAAAAACACACACACACACCTTATAACAGAAAACATAATAAACATGAAACAGAACAACTCTATAAAAACTCTCCAATTCTATCTCATTTAGCAAACAGCCCATGAACTATTATACTTACATCTCTATTCTCTTCTCCCATAGCCATAGTTTTTTCTAGCCTAAAAACCACCATATACCATATATATACTTCACCAACCAGCTACTTAACCAACCTTGATCCAGATGGCCGGTTCCGAGTCTTTTGAAATTGCCAACATTAGTGCAGAATAAAGCATTTTCACCAAAACTATGAACCCACTAGACCCTGAGGAATTCAGGAGACAAGGCCACATAGTCATAGATTTCCTAGTAGACTATTACAAGAATGTTGAGAAATACCCAGTCCAAAGCCAAGTCGAAACGGGTTATCTCCAAAAACGTTTGCCAGAGTCTCCCCCTAGCAGCTCTGAACCTATTGAAACAATTCTCCAAGATGTGCAGAGTGATATTATTCCTGGTCTAACATATTGACAAAGTCCTAACTTCTTTGCTTACCACCAATCAAACGCAAGCACTGCTGGTTTTCTAGGTGAAATGCTCTTATCTGGCTTTAATGACGTTGGATTTAGTTGGATATCGTCACCGGCAGCCACTGAGCTAGAGAGCATAGACATGGATTGGCTTGGAAATTTGCTTAAGCTTCCAAAGTCATTCCTTTTCAGTGGTGGGGGTGGGGGTGTAATACATGGTAGTACTTGTGAGGCCATTTTGTGCACCCTAACCGCCGCTAGAGATCAAAAGCTAAGCCAAATTGGTAGAGAAAACACTGAGAAGCTAGTTGTTTATGCGTCCGATCAAACCCATTCTGCGTTCCAGAGAGCAGCTCAGATTGCCGGTATTGCTAAGCAATTTTTTAATCTCTCATCTCAAATTACATTGATGCTGCATTTTAGTAAGAAATTTGTGTCTTTAAATTAGAGTTGAAATATATATATATATATATATATATATATAAATTTCAAGTTTTTAGTTCTTAATTTCTTATTTCAGAAAGTGGATTTCATGCTTCCAAACACAACATGACCTTAAACTTTATAGGCTCTTACATTTTTACACACTAAATTTTCTTGTGCAACTTATAAATTGATTATGCTTACTATGCAGATTAATTTTCAAATTTACTTTTGAACAGGTATCCACCCCAATAATTTTCGAACCATCTTGTCAACGAGATCTAAAGAATTTACATTATCTCCAGACTCATTACTGTCCACAATTCTCTCAGATGTGAAAAATGGATTAATCCCATTGTGTTTATGTGCCACAATTGGGACTACCATCAGCTGCTGTTGATCCACTGGGACCAATATGTGATGTTGCAAAACTATATGGAATATGGGGTTCCCGTAGACGCGGCATACGCCGGAAGTGCATGCATATGCCCTGAGTTCAGACACTTCATTGATGGGGTAGAGGGTGCAACCTCATTTAGCTTCAATGCACACAAATGGTTGTTGACTGGCCTTGATTGTTGCTGCCTTTGGGTTAAGCACCCAAGTGTTCTTGTCGAGGCTCTCTCAACAGATCCTGAGATCTTGAGAACAAAGATTGGCAAATAGCCCTAAGCCGGAGATTTCAAGCCACGAAGCTATGGATTGTGCTCAGAAGCCATGGTGTAGCTAAACCTCAGAAGCTTTATAAGGGGTCATATTGAAATGGCCAAGCATTTTGACGGGCTTGTAGCAAGTGACAAGAGGTTTGAAGTTGTGGTGCCTAGACATTTTGCAATGGTCTGCTTTAGGGTTTTGCCATCAGCAACATTGTGTGATGATCATAAGCAGAAATTGAATGGGGAATGTGCTAACAAGTTGAACTGCGAGTTACTAGAATCCATCAATGGGTCCGGCCGACTGTACATGACTCATGCAGTGATCGGAGGGGTGTATGTGATTCAGTTTGCTGTCGGCAAGACGCTAACCAATCATCAACACATGAACCTGGCTTGGAAGGTAGTGCAGGAGCATGCAGATGCCTTGCTTAGTAAGTTCTAAACATTGGGAGCTCTGTTGATGGTCCAGAAGTGGAAAGGAAATAAAAGGGAAAAACTACTAGTTATGGAGCTTCTATTTTCTATATTGTATTCTAGTTTGTCTGGTATGAATTTGAAAAAAAATAAAAAAATATATATAAAAAAGAAGTGTTTGTTTTAATTTTAGAAATATAGATGTCAACAATTGGTCTTGAAGTTGATATCCAATGCGAGAAAATTTTTGTTAGAAAACAATTTTCTATATGAAATTAAATATTTTATTTCAGTTTCTGGAAATATGGAATGAATTGAAAGGAATAGGACGTTTCTCTTCTCATTTACTAAATCCTTGAATTCAATCAAATTACTTCATGTATCGAGGATAAAAAAAGTAAACTTATATTCAAAATCTTTTATCCCCAACCAGATTTTAAAAATATTTTTCAAATAACAGTGTGATCTGGACCTATTTCTCTAGCCAATGTGTGCAGCCAAAGGGTTTTTATTCCTTTGATGCCGTGAATAAACTCAAATGTGGGTCCCATTCAGTGTATCAATGGGATAAAAAACCCTTCGAGTATCCACGTCGATTTAAGAAATCGGTTTAAAAATCATTTTCCTTTTCCAAATCTGATTAGCCCCAATGTTAGTAATAAGTTGGAAAATAATAAGGGTAAGGAAGCTCTTAGTACCTGTAAATTAAACTTGTCCACCAACCAAGGGCCGCAACACACTGATACCTCCTTTACCTCTCAAATAATGACTGATGATTCAAATCCTGGACAAGTTGTACAGTTATTTGTTAGGGAGAAGAAAAAAATAAAAATTAGAGTATGATAAGAACTAACTGGTCTAAAAGCTTTTTGATTGTAATATCTCGAGATGAAAGCAAAAAGATAGGCAAACTATCTTTTTGAGAGTAATAGCCCTACAAGAGAATTATTTCAAAATCCATCTCAAACTTTTGAGATATATGGTGAAATTACCTTACCATTGTTTCTCGCTACACTGATACCATTTTAACAACAATCTACGCTAATCTAAATCATTAGAAGAAAGTACAACTTAGTAATTTATATTCTCGATCTTTTTGTACCGAGATATTTTTAGTTTAGCTAAAAACTTTCGTTTACTTGATTCCTCTTATACCCACAATATAGCTCTTTTATCCCGAGTATAACTTAATAATTAAAATCCGCAAGTTCACAATTACTTGCTACCCCCATGATACGTAATCAATCACAATACGGTGGGTTCTGGAGGATAACCTTGAGGGGACTAGAATCGTTGCAAACTGTCCCCCTGTATCATCACATTTTCCATGCATAGAAGATTTGTTCATTTTTTATCCACTTGAACGTAAATATTTTCACAAGAAAGTGAAAGAAATCAATTTAAAATAAATATCAGCATAGTTTAACATGAATATTATAACAAAACAAACTCTTAAAAATTGAGTTCTACTTGCATGGAGAACATGTTTTTTCTCTACATGTTATTGCTGAAGAAGTCTCCTTTACCAAGAAGTGATCAATTGTCACTAGTAACAATCAACAAAAATCTGGTATCTTATTTGAACAAAAATGGTGATATTCTTCCTCCATTGATCTGCACCTATTCCTAATCCTAAATGGAATGGAACGACGTAGGGATCCATATATAAACATAGGATCAGTTTCAATATGCTCGAATGACCCAAGAATATAGATTTTTTGGAAGTATCGTGATCATCCAATAAGGAAGGTTCAATTTTTTCAAATGAACAATTTGTAGACCTATTGACTTTAACAAGAGTTGATCATTTGGACATTTCAATTCATAGACATACATCATGGACTTATGAATGGAGATATTCCCGAAACTTACATGGCTGCTGACTGTGCGACAGACATCACACGTGCCATGAATATTATAATAATCATGTCAGGTGATATGACAAGACAATCATTTTCTGCACCACCTGGAAATGCCTAAGTTCTCTATCTTCCCTACCGTCTCATCCTTTCTCTATCTCACGCCAGCCTTGGAAATAACCCATTTCCAGAACCTACCTTGTGCATCTCGTGTACTTCATCAATATACACCTTCAATTATTTTGTGCATGTCAACAATTTTAGATCAAATTCTACCCGAAAACGGAGTAATTTTAAATCTCTTGGAAATCCCAATATAACTGTGGAGTAGTAGTTCGAATATCCTTGAACTGGTACAACTACCTTGCTTGTGTTTAAATATTAGAGAGAGGGGACCCATTTGGATCATTTAATGTACAGTTAAAACTAATTCAATTTAAAAAATGTAAAACAGAACCTTGTAGGAAACACGTAGTGACTTGCACTTGCACTTGCCAGGCTGCAGCCCAAAGAACAACTCTATAAATTCTCCAATTCTCTCTCACCTTTTATGTATTCCCCTCCACTCTCGTATCCCATTGCCATAGTTCAGTTTTTCCTAGCCTAAAACCCACCATACTTCACCAAGAAAGGAATTACCAAAACAATGAACCCACTAGACCCGATGAATTCAGGAGACAAGGCCATATAGTCATAGATTTCCTAGCAGACTATTACAAGAACATCGAGAAATACCCGGTCTGAAGCCAAGTCGAACCAGGTTACCTCCGAAATCGTTTGCCAAAGTCAGCCCCTACCAACGCTGAACCTATTGAAACAATTCTCCAAGATGCGCAGAGTGATATTATTCCTGGTCTAACACATTGGCAAAGTCCAAACTTCTTCGCTTACTACCAATCAAACGCAAGCACTTCTGGTTTTCTAGGTGAAATGCTCTTGTCCGGCTTTAATGTCGTCGGATTTAGTTGGATATCGTCACCTGCAGCCACTGAGCTAGAGAGCATAGTCATGGATTGGCTTGGAAAGTTACTTAAGCTTCCGAAGTCATTCCTTTTCAGTTGTGGTGGTGGGGGTGTCATACATGGTAGCACTTGTGAGGCCATTTGTGCACCCTAACCGCTGCAAGAGATCAAAAGCTGAGCCAAATTGGTAAAGAGAACATAGGGAAGCTAGTCGTTTATCGGTCTGATCAAACCCATTCTGCATTCCAGAAAGCAGCTCAGATTGCCGGTATTGTTAAGCAATTTTCATTTTATGCTCTTATATCAAGTATACTACATTTTGTAGTATTATATTTCGGAATTGGAAAACAAATAAATATAAAATTTCAAGTAATTTAGTAAATTAATTTCTTATTTCATGACTAAAATACTTGTCATTTAATTCTTTCACATGTACACTACAATTTTCTCACGCAAATTTTAAATTGATTATTAGTGATATGGAGATTAATTTTCAAAATAATTACTTTGGAACAGGTATCCACACCAAGAATTTTCGAAACATCTTGTCGACGAAATCTACAGAATTCAAGCTCTCTCCAGATTCATTGATGTCCACAATTGTATCAGATGTGAAAAATGGGTTAATCCCATTGTATTTATGTGCCACAGTTGGGACAACTCCAACAGGTGCTATTGATCCATTGGGACCAATATGTGATGTTGCAAAAATATATGGCGTATGGGTTCACGTGGACACAGCGTACGCCGGAAGTGCATGCATATGCCCGGAGTTCAGGCACTTCATTGACGGAGTAGAGGGTGCAACCTCATTTAGCTTCAATGCACACAAATGGTTGTTGACTGGACTTGATTGTTGCTGCCTTTGGGTAAAGGACCCAAGTGTCCTTGTCAAGGCTCTGTCAACAGACCCGAGATCTTGAGGAACAAGGCAACTGATTCAAAGCTGGTGGTTGACTACAAAGACTGGCAAGTATCCCTAAGCCAGCGATTTCGAGCCATGAATCTATGGATTGTGCTCAGAAACCATGGAGTTACTAACATTAGAAACTTTATAAGAGGTCATGTTGAAATGGCCAAGCATTTTGAAGGGCTTGTAGCAAGTGACAAGAGGTTTGAAGTTGTGGTGCCTAGACATTTTGCTATGGTCTGTTTTAGGGTTTTGCCATCAGCAATATGTTATGATGATGGTCATAAGAGTTTGTTAAATGGGGAATGTGTTAACCAGTTGAACCACGAGTTACTGGAGTTAATCAATGGGTCTGGACGAATTTACATGACTCATGCCGTAATCGGAGGGGCCTACATGATTCGGTTTGCCATCGGCGCGATGCTAACCGAACTTCGGCATGTGAACATGCCTTGGAAGGTGGTGCAGGAGCATGCAGATGTCATGCTTAATTAGTACATTCTAAACATTGTGTCCTATTGAGGGTCCGGAGGTGGAGAAAAAAAAATAAACTACAAGTTATGGAGTTTCTATATTGCATTAGTTATTGTTTGTCCAATATGAAATTTTAAAATAAGAAGAAGAAGAACTGCTTGTTTTAATCCTAGTAATATGGATGTGTACAATCCATCTTGAATTTGATACAGAGTGTGAGGAAATTTTGGTTTCATTTTCTGAAAACCTAAAGAGTGAGCCAAGCTAGGTCATTTTACCACAATGGTTGTTAATGGTAACAGAACTAGTAGACCAAATATTGCCAAGGGTAATTTAATATTTGACAACTTTTCTAGCCTATGCAACAAATACGACATATACGAAAAAGTATTGGGTGAAACAGCCACTAAAAAAGTTTCCTTGGTCCGTCACTGGGTGGAACCACATTTAGCTTCAATGCACACAAATGATTGTTGACTCGCTTTGATTGTTGCTACCTATGGGCCTTGATTGTTGCTGCCTATGGGTTAAGCACCCAAGTGATCTTGTCAAGGCTCTCTCAACAGATACTGAGATCTTGAGAAACAAGGCCACTGATTCAAAGCTGGTGAACTACAAAGACTGGCAAATAGCCCTAAGCCGGAGATTTCAAGACATGAAGCTATGGATTGTGCTAAGAAGCCATGGTGCAGGTAACCTTAGAAACTTTATAAGAGGTCATGTTGAAATGGCCAAGCATTTTGAAGAGCTTGTAGCAAGAAACAAAAGTTTTGAAGTTGTTGTGCCTAGAAATTTTGCTATGGTATACTTTAGGGTTTTTCCTACAGCAACAATGTGCGATGATAATCATAAGAAGTTGTTCAATGGGGAATGTGCTAACGAGTTGAACCAGGAGTTACTAGAGTCCATCAATGGGTCTAGCCGAGTGTTCATGACTCGTGCATAATCGGAGGGGCGTACGTGATTCGGTTCGCTGTTGGTGCCACTCTAACCGACTGTTGGCACGTGAACATGGCTTGGAAGGTGGTGCAGGAGCATGCAGATGCCATGCTTAGTACATTCTAAACATTGTGAACTACTGTTGAGGGTCCAGAAGTGGAAAGGAAACAAAAGGAAATAACTACTAGTTATGGAGTTTCTACTTTCTATATTGTAATCTTGTTTGTTCAGTATGAATTTGAAAAATAAATAAATAAATAATAAAATATAAAAAGAGGTGCTTGTTTTAATTTTAGAAATATGGATGTGTACAATCGGTCTTGAATTAAATTCATTGCATATTTCTAGAAACTGAAATAAAATATTTAATTTCATATAGAAAATTGTTTTCTAACAAAATTTTCAATCAACTTACTTTATATACCGAGGATATAAAAAGTAAACTTGAACTCAAAATTTATTATTCCCAACCGAATTTTAAAATATTTTTCAAAGAACAAAGCTATTTGGACCTATTTCTCTAGCCCATGTGTGTAGCTGAATGGGTTTTTATCCCTTTGATGCCGTGAATAAACTCAAATGTGGGTCCCATCCACCGTATCAAAGGGATAAAAATCCTTTTGGCTATCAACATCAGTTTAAGAAATCAGTTTAAAAATCATTGTCCTTTTTCAAATCTTATTAGCCCCAATATTACTAATAAGATTTTTTGTTGGAAAAGAAGAATGGTAAGGAAGTTCTTATTACCTGCAAATTAAAAATGGCCAACAACCAAGGGCTGTAACACACTCTGCTATCTTCTTTACCTCTCAAAATAATAACTGATGATTCAAATCCTGGATAAGGTATGCAAGTTATTTGTCAGGGAGAAGAAAAAAACAGAAATTAGAGTATGATAATAACTAATTGGTCTAAAAGCTTTTTGATTGTAATATCTCGAGATGAAAGCAAAAAGATAGGCAATCTATCTTTTAGAGAGTAATAGCCCAACGAGAAACTTATTTGGAAAACCATCTCAAAATTTTGAGATATATGATGAAATTACCGTACCATTCTTTCACCACGGTGACACAATTTTAGCAACAATCTACGCTAATCTAAATCATTAGAAGAGAGTGCAACTTAGTAATTTATATTCTCGATCTTTTCGTGCCGAAGATATTTTTAGTTTAGCTAAAAACTATCATTTACTTGATTCCTCTTATATCCACAATATAGCTATTTTATCCCGAGTATGACTTTAATTTACATCCACAAGTTCCAACAATTACATGCTACCCCCATGATACGTAATGAATCACAATCCAGTGGGGTCAGGAGGGTAACCTTAAGGGGACAAGAATTGTTGCTAGCTGTGCCCCTATATCATCACATTTTACATGCATAGAAGATTAGTTCATTTTTTGTAGGACAACTAAATCTGATGTTTTGCAAGTAGAACCACTCTGGTGAAAGCTAGGACCATGTCAATGCAAGCCCGCTCTATAATCTTCTTGTATCGTACTATCTTTATACCTGAACATGGACAAAAATAGGTGGAGGGTTTACTTGTTAAGCCTTGTAACCCAGCTACTTAACAGTGCATGTTCGTTAAACCAGCACCTGAAGGTCTCTATAAGGAATCCAGAACTTCCATCAAAAGATGTGGGGATCTTTTTCGTCCACTTGGGCGTAAATATTTTAAACAATAAAGTGAAATAAATCAATTAAAAATGGAGTTCTAGTTGCACTGAGAACATGTTTTTTCTCTACATGTTATTACTGAATAAGTTTCCTTTACCAAGAAGTGCTAAATTGTCACTATTAACAGTCAACAAAAATCTGGTATCTTATTTGAACAAAAATGGTGATATTCTTCCTCCATTGATCCATGCCTATTCCTAATCCTAGATGGAATGGAACGATGTAGGGATAAACATATAAACATAGTATCTATTTTGGGAAGTATCATGATCATCCAATAAGAAGGGTTCATTTTTCTTCAAATGAACAATTTGAAGTCCAATTGATTCTAACAAGAGTTGATCATTTGGACCTTTCAATTCATAGACATAGATCTTGGACTTATGAATAGGGATATTCCCGAAACTTACAAAGAAAAAGGAAGTGACGTAGACAAAAAGAAAAGCAACTTGGACAAAAAAAAAATAGTAACTTGGACATTTGACGAGAATGGGTCACCAACGTTGTTATGCAAGCCTGAAGTTTACTGTCTGATAACCATCCAAATAGCATGTTTATAGAATGGATTAAAATCAGCATCGATCTATAAAGTACACTAGTACAGTAAATAAGTAAATAATTTTTTGTATTGCCCTTTTATCCCACTATTGGTTCCATCTGTGGGAGGTATTGGCAGGGGCGTCTAGATATAGGCCTAACTATAAGTATCATTTACAGAAAATGACTGCTTTCAAGTTCAAAACCAAGATGCCCTGAAATTTGAATCTGCATTCTGACATTTAAGTTATTTTTTTTTTGATAAGTAACATTTAAGTTATTTAACAGATCCAAACTTTTACCATTGCACCAAACAATGGGGCCTCACCCTCCTACTTTGTACCAACAATGACAATATCATCAGGAGAAGGGAAAATCGCATTTTGTACCTCAGAACATTGAGAGCGCGAAGAGAATCCAAATTAAGCTCAACCCCAATATTTCAGCATGTTATCTTCAGCTTGCCCAATCCACTAATCTTCAAGTTCTTATTCTGACATAATTTCAAAAAGAGAAATCATGCTAAATCAAATGAGAAAAGAAATGCAAATAAAAAGGCTTGAATAAGAGAAGTGCAGTGGAAGTGGATCATGGTGTTTCCATAAACTGAGAATGCACAAAAAAAACAACCAGATCAATCCACCTTTCCCGTATTTGCCTTACTTTTACGGAGTCTCTGAAAGAATAATTGAAAATATAAAAAACTAACATTTGAAAAGAAGTTCGAAGGTGCCAGCCCGTTTTGTTGATAATCATTGGGTAGTCATACCAAAGACCAGGGATCAGATCTGGGTTGTGTGAATGTGCATGTGCATGTTGGCCTTGTTAGGTCAGGGGATGGACAAATTATAGGGTTATGAAGGGCTATCCCCTCATGTAGCCCATTCCCGTGGAAAAAAAATAAAAAAAATAAATGAATAATAATAATAACAAATAATTGAAAAAAAAAAGAGAGAGAAGAAATTGAAAAGAAGTTCAATAATATGACTTTTAATTCAAGCTTAAGTCACTCCTACAGTCCACTAAATCGCGGGATATCAATTCAACTTTACAGTAGTTTAATTCAACACATTAAATTATCTATAAAAGACTTTAAAAGATCAAGATTAATTCTGGCAAATATCAAAATACTTTGGAAAAATCCATGCTTTCACTTGGATTACAAGGAGTGAAACAGCATGAGTAAGTATCTCAGGTTGGACTAATCTTGAATTTCCAACGCTGGACCAAACTGTGTCTGCTTGAAAAGCAGAAAACATAATCCATGACCTTCTCTAAATAGAAGAAATAGCTAAACCAGCACTATTGTGTTTCTAAGAGAATCAATGAGAACTATAACATAAACAAAGTTTATTGTTCAAGATTGTAAAGATAATGAAAAGGAGTTGGCTTTTTGCCTATCTTGAATTTAAATATGACCAAGTAAATCAAGACTCAATCAAGAGAATATAAAAAAGGAAGTGAAACTGTTAGTTTGGAAATGAACATTATAGGAGGATGCCAATAAACAAAAAAGTATTATACCCAAAAATATTTGTATTCGTATGTATATAATATCTATATTCGTATGTACTGTAATTGACTATGGCATAAACCTAGTAAAATTAAACCATTTTAAATTCTCATATGAACTAGACTATTTAATCAGCAAAGCAAAACACGAGTTAGCCAATGAAAGAATTCAGGATTATACATTGAACCAGTGTTCTCTGATATAGGAAAATGGTGTCATTCATGACTTGAGTATGAACATAGACAATGAATGCTGATGTAGAGTCATCTATCAACTATTTATCTTAAAGCAAGTAAGAGTGTCAAAATGATCACATATGCTATGTTCTCTTATGTATGCTTTAAGTGGTAGTCTTCTTAAGACTAATTCCAACTGATCTTTTCATGATCAGAAGGTTTTTGAAAAGCTCTATATTGCTCTATCACTGGTTTAAACCTCACGACACAACCTCCCATCGTGAAGCTCTAATAGACAGTGAATATAGAAACAGGAAGGAAAACCGAGAGAAGGCATTTGACGCGCACGCACACAAACAAATAAATAAATAAATAAAATAACATTCAGCTAGTAAAAAGTACACAGCAACTTAAATATAAAGCTGCATCAACCATCAGGTAGTAAAAATAAATGATGGAAAGGCATCCATCATATGGGAAAAGAGAGAGAGAGAGAGAGAGAGAGAGATAATAATAAATAAAATAACGATATAAATTTAAGACAAGAAATGAGAAGCTATTTGAAGCCCTTCACCATAACCTTAATAATATCGATAGTATAAGTATTTAGTTATCTACATCATATCTAAAGAAAATGAACTTTTATTGTCGATGTTCACATCCCATTCCCTTGTATCTCAATGCATTGGTCCAACTTCTCCAAAGACATAAAAATAAAAATTTAAGATTCTGAAAACAGTTTAAGTTTTATAAATTTGGTAGAACTCCATGGAAAACAACCCAACTACTGAAAAGGCAATCAGATTGAAGATAGTGACCCAAAATATATGGTTAAAATTAGTGATTTGACATGCACACTCCATTTTTTCCACTTGCCACTTCTCATAAGGTGCCACTTATCCTTTCTCTTTCTTTTCTTTTTTTCCTTTTTTTGCAATATAACCACACTTCCCCTCACTGTAGCCTGACAGGATATCTATCCTATTGTGATTAAAGTTTTATTTTCAGTGAGATACAGATGTTGGGTAATCGGGCACTAACTCTCAAATCTCAATCATGATCTGCGAACATAGACAGGACTAAGGATTTATTCATTGGAAGGGAAAATAGAACTAAATTGGAGGATTTATATTTGATTCCGCATATTTATTCATTAAATTCTGCAAATAGAATATTTCACTCATCAGCAAATGCAAATACATGTACTGCTGAAAACAGAAATTCAAAAGTACACCATACTCCATTTAATTAGAACAAACTGACAAGTTTAAACGATATAATCAATTAACTTATCATCATAACAAATTCAAATCACATTTTATAGATTAAAAAAAAAAAAAATAGACAAAAAAGACAAAAGTAAGAGAAATTAACAGAAATCAAATTATATCATTAACAAGTACACAATTAAAAAACAAACATGAAGTACAAATTTCGTATTAAAGATTGATTAGCTACCGGAAACAGTTCAGAAACTCAATGGCAAAGATTCGTATAACATTTATATATGTGTGCGTGCTCGTGTGTGTATATATTTGTGTTTAAAGAAAACCCTAATTAAACTTCTATGTTTGAGCCTACATATGAAGATTAGAGAGAGCGCTTACGAGAGAGAGGAGAGAGAGTGTTGTTACGTAGAAAGTTAGAGAGAGATGGGACGCAGAGAGGAGTGTTAACTGTAAAGTGGAAAACTGAGATTAGCAAAGAGGTTCTGGGAAAGTGAACCCAATCTGTATCTCTCTCTAAAGGTAAGCCACAAGGACCACAACAACCGGACCAAATACGAACCCTATAAGGGCCCAAACTACAAACACCAAAAGCCCATAACAAGTACTGAATGTTCAAATTCCGTTTTTGACCATCACTCACTCTACTGCTAATGATAATAGAATGAAAGGTCGGCCCTTACTCCGTTCCTTGCGACAAAATGAAGGCAATGGAAAGCTCTTGCCTAGCTTTGTGCTCCATTTTTGTTTTTGATTTTGTTTTTGTTTTATATACATATACATATATATATATATATATATATAAGGACTTATTTGTATCAATTTTTTGTTTTCTGCGAACTGAATATTAAATTTCGAAGATACAATTATAAAAAGTCTTATTTTTAGATAATTACCTTTTATAACTCTTTGAAAAGTGTTTTCTAAGTTAAAATTGTTTCCAGAAAAGTGAACTAAGCATGTTCTAAAATTTTCCCTCTTTAGATAGATAGAGTCGTGATAGAGATTTTAAATTCAAAGAGTATGGAGTGGTATGTCCGTCTTACCCAATAATTTCTTAATGATGGAGTGCCTTACATGTTCACTGTCACCTCGATCTTATGATTCTTCGAAATTAAAGAAAATATAATTATTCCATTAGGTAATGCCCAAAAATTTTCTTCCTTCAATTTAGGTGGCCTACCTTATCTCCTCTCTTCTTCTTTTTTTCAAAAATTAAAGCAATTTTCATTAATTAAAATATGTACAAGAGGCCTTAGGCCCAAAAGTGCAACGACCCACTCCACCACATGGTATGATATTGTCCGCTTTGGGCCTGAGTCCGCACAGTCTTGCTCTTGAGTTTCACCCCAAAAGGTCTCATACCAATTGGAGATGATGCACTTACATTTAAGCACTTCACATTTCCTCTACCCAGGCGATGTGGGACTTGTGCACCTTGTAGCTCGCCAGTGTGGTAACCTGACAGTGTCTCTTGCACCCGTCCACGGCACACCCGCCCACAAGGTCATCACAATTCGCCTCGGTAGAGGAAAGGTGAAGTGCTTATATGTAAGTGCATCATCTCCAATTGGTATGAGGCCTTTTGGGGTAAAACTCAAGAGCAAAACCGTGCGGGTTCAGGCCCAAAACGGACAATATCATACCATGTGGTGGAGTGGGTCGTTACAAAGAGCAACAAGCCCAAACAACCCAACAAAGGAGGACCCGATCCCAAATGATAACTACCATTAACGGCACCGGCTGTCAATGGAGACCATATGCAATCCAGTAACATCAATTTGCGGCTAAGCCGCCATGATTCAATTTGGAGGGTGCGGAGGAGGTCTTGTAGAAGACGGTGAAATGTTCTAGTCCATAAGGATAGATCTAGATTCCAAGCAATCCTTGAGACGAACAAGCTTCAAGATAGCAGCGATGGTGGAAGAGATATTGGCCCTCTGTGAAGCTTTCTTCCCTCTGAAGATTCTAACATTCCTTTCCTCCCAGGTATGGTACACCATGGCTAATAAGCCCAATTTCCTATGTAAATTTTTAGGTGTGTTTGCATTCCATTGAGCACTAGACCACTGTACAAGATTTTCCCAATTGGTGGTAGCTGTCTAAATATTGCACTTATATTTGATAAAACGTCATATCGGAAAGATGAATCAACAATTAAGAAGTAAGTGATTATGAGATTCAGGTGACATAATCTACAAGTCACTATTACAACTTGGCTCTTGCTAATCAAGTGATCACTATTACAACCTGGCTCTTGCTAATTAAGTGATCTACGTGAGATATCAATAGGCTATTTTATGGCACTTCACATTTTGAAGTCGAAAGACTAGCATGTACAAGTGTCTCCAAGAAGAAGTAACATGGTGTTTATATATTTTGGAACATTTTGTCTGTTTTAAGATAACCTTAATAATAATAATAATAATAATACATGGATCGCTCCTACTCGCAATTTATTTTTGTTTAATATGAATCAGGGATATAATAGAACCACGTACTACATACACTTATATATGTATCCAGACACACATTTCTAGATTCTCATCACCAACTTTTTGCTAATTATATATATATATATATATATATATATATATACACACACACATTTATGGATTCTCATCACCAACTTTATACGAAACCATGTGATAATCTTCCTCTCCATCGCTCTCCAACCATCCATTGTTGGTAGAATATAACGATGGTTCTCCAACCTATATATATATATAGGGTAAAGGGCAATAAACCCCCTCAAACTATGCTCTCTTTAGCAAGAAACTCCCTTAAACTTTTATTTTTACAATTAACCCCCTAAACTATCCCTTTTTTTGCAAATATCCCAATTCCGTTCAAATTCCGGTGAATTATCAACGTTAAAGTGGTGTGTGACATCACATAAGCTAAGCATAAATTTTAAATGGCAAGAATAACCTTATTACCCATTTAAATCGGGTTGTCTTTTGACCCGATTTAAAACCCACTCCAACTCCCAAATCTAGTCAGCTTCGTCAAAGAAACTCCATCTCTCTACCAGACTCTCTCTCTCTCGTTCTCAAGCAGATCCTACCAGCAGATCCGATGGCGGCGAAGATCAGCCGAGGAATATAACAGCAATAGATTCTGATGGTGACAGCAAGAATCAACACGGTGGCGACAAGGTTGAAAGTCTGAACTAATGACGATAAAGCCTGATAACCGGCGATCGTGATGGCGATGTTGTTTCGACGGCGAGACCCACCAACGTGCCTGTTGCAGCGGCAGTGGTTTCAGTGAAAGTTCTCTTATATGGGTTTGGCGATGATGGTTTGAGAATTTTACGTTCGCTATTGGGTTTGCCTGGTGATCACTCTTGGGGTTTTGCGATTGGTTTGCTTGTTGATCGACGACAACATATTTTTTAGATTTTGCGATTGGGATTACTTGATGATTGACAACATATTCTTGGGTTTTGTGATTGGGTTGGCAACTTTTGTAATTGGATATTGCCGCTAGAGTTTGGGGTTTTGTGATTGGGTTGCCGATGATTGCGATTCATAGCCAGAGATTGTATCGAATGAGAGATAACACTGTGATGTTTGGGATATTTTTAGTTGCTGGCTTTCGGTGTAAATTTGCCCTGTTACTGTTTTTTTTTTTTTTTTTTTTTTTAATTGCTTTTCTTGTTGTGCATTTGGTTGCTTATGACTATTTGATTTTGGCAAATTTAGGGTTTCAATAGTCACTGGTCAGAGCAACAAATTTAGGGTTTCAATTATCAAAGAGATGGGGATTGTTTGGCGCGAATTTTAGCAAAAAGCACACATAACAGTAATATGTGATAAAACTTGATGTGCTGTCAATGTTGGCAGGAGGGATTACATCAGCAGATGAAGGTTAAAAAACAACAAAATGACATACCAGTTTATTGTAAGGGTAAAATGGTCAATTCATTTTTCTGTCAACTACTGTTAGACTACTGTCCTTAAATTGCACATTTTTAATAGTTGAGGGGGGCAATTGTTAATATAGGGGGGTTTTGTGAAATATTCTAATAATTCAGGGGGGTTTATTGCCTTTTACCCATATATATATATATATATACAGCTAAATCATGAAGATGGCAGTTAGTCTGATGGGTCATTTCTGCCAGTGGAGCATAGCTTGGAGAACATCATGAATGGGGTGGTCTGATGTGTCACTTTTGCCTGCCAACATGGAACTAAACTATTCTCTCCAAAATGGGTCAAACTGTCATGATTGCCACGTGGACCCTCGGCCCCACTCACACCGGTAAAAACAAAATGAGATGGAAAAGTGGCCGGGCGTCTTTGTCGCTTTCATTGCAAAAGCGACAAATACAACAAAGCCTGTCAAAGGACAGCTCCATCAGTCCTGCACTTTCTCCATTGCTTCCCGCCAATAATCTACGGCAGTCCTTGCTCCACGAATTAGATATATCCCTCTACAATATACGTACAATTTGAGGACTGAATAAAATTATTTTTAAAATAAAGTACATAAAACTCCTCCTAAATTACCGTGCTTTTGTAAATAACGCTTTAAACTAAAAATTATTCCGTTAAACTATTAATTTGTTATAATTAAGGATAAACTAATCATAAAAAATTATATTATCTTTTTTAGTTAAATTTGTCAATTCTTATTAAATTATTTTTATTATCTTTTCCCTTATCTAAATACTATTAATTATACTTATTTATCTTAATTTTATTATTAGTATCCATTTATCATAAAAATGGAAAAAATAGAATACATTTGTAATAATATTTTCTAATATAATTAACTTATAATTAAACTACACTATTTATTATAAAACTTCTTATACTAAGTTTAAACCTTTTTTTACCATAAAAAAATACCTTCTTTTTCATACAATATAGTCATGAAAATTTAAGAAATTATTTAAATAAAAAATACTTTCATTTTCATGCAATGTATTTATGAAAAAAATAAAGATTACTTAAATTGTTTTAAAATTTTCTATTGAAGATTTTTATTTCAACAATTGATATAAAAATTAAAGATAAATTTACGCAAATTTAGTGGATAATATGTTATCAATATAGCATGAGTTTTTTTTTTCATAATTTATTTCAATAAGAAAAATAAATTATGGTCCTTTAATGAGAAATAGTTTAGGCATTAGGGCATTTTTGCAACTGAATGAGATAGTTCAGGGAGTATTATGCATAAAATATAGTTTCAGGGAGTTTATTACAAATTCGGATATAATTCAAGAATTTTTTTTGCACTTTACCCTCTTTTTAAGCTTAATATATCTGTCCAAGGAAAAAGATATCTAATCAACTGCATTTATACTTAGTAGTTACTGATGTTTCGCATCCGGTGATTGGAATTATTTATGTATGAAATTATTTATTGAAATAGGAAGAGCTTATTCTGGTTTGAATGGCGTTAGAATGTCTAATATTGCAATCACACACACGTATATAATACACACACACACATATGCCTCGTGGCTCCTATTTCAACTCAAAAGGTTAATATATTTATTGGAGTAACCATTGTCCCATATAAATTCTAAATAGAGAAAATAAAAAATATTTGTTAGACTATTTATAAAACTTGTTAGCATACCATATGAATAAAAATTAGTAATTAAAAAGTCACAAGTCTGACAATTCCAAGTAAATTTTAGAATTGTTAGTTCAGCAATTCGAGTATATATTTTGATTTTAAAAAATTAATGGAAATTATAGTTTGACAGAAACTGTTAACTTAATATATATATATATATATATATATATATATATATATATATATATATATTTTCTTCTGGTGGTACATCTCAATAACAGTTGTTGAGAAACAATTACTATATCATTATATTTGCAACTACTAAATGCATGATTCAGTAATACACTAGTATACTCTTTAATTACAAAGAACAACCTTAACTAAAACGATTTAAACTACTTTAACTTAATAGATAAAGTTAGATATATGTATATAATATGTGACGTAAATGTAGTATATTATAGCTAGGAAGTTGCTGCTCCTGAGTCCTGTTCTCTGGAGAACACCTTCATATTTTTTGTATATACTGATTAAAACATTAAATGGAGAAAATATTTTTCGAAATTCATTTTTTCCATATTATAAATTCATTAAATAAACAGGACGAAAGCGCCATGAGTGGTTTCTCAATCCAATTCCAACTTTTTTTTAATTCTTTTCTCCAACATTTTTGAAATTTTCTTCTTTTCTCTCTCTAAGAAGTTGATAGATCAAAATTTCATCTTTTGATTGCAATGCGTTAAGTTTCACATGTAATTGAATCTCCTTCCTTACTTATTGAGCTCCATAATTATATTTGAGAATGATTATAGACAATTGAAGATCCAGATTAGTTCTGCCTCACAATGGTGAGGATCATACTTAAAACATAATAATATATATATATATATATATATATTTCAATAAGGGATTATTACATATAAATGGTGCTAATGAATCATATTTACCATTTAATGGAGTCAAAGTCTTATAGTTTCAAAAAAATGAAGACATAAAAAAATACTATTTACCCTCACAGAGGTACCACATTTAAATATATAGGTATCACTTTTTTTTATCATGTAACATGTTTTGTGCTGCATAAAAAAATGGTACTTGATGTACAAAAAGTGATACCTATACCACCAAAAAGTGATACATATATGAATAAAAGTAGTTTCTCTATACCCAAAACAAAAGTAGTATCTAGTGCACAACAAATAGTACCTGCGTGCACAAAAAGTGATACCTATATGCCTAAAAGTGATACTTCTATGAAAGTAAATAATATTTTTCATGTCCACGTCAATATTTTGGTCAACTTCATTTTTTCAAAACTATAAAACTTTGATTCCGTCGAATAATAAATATAGGTCATTAGTGTCATGTAATAACCCCTTTCAATGAAGTCATATATGAGAGGAAAAATAAAAAAAAAAATGAACGGGCATAAGCGGTAATAAAAAATTACATGTTTCTTTTTTTCAACACCACCAAAGACTGTGATCATCCGGTGCCAAACACACACTGACATCAGAGCAATCTCAGCCACTCGAAACACACCAACAAGTGGGTCCCCTCTCTTTCACGTGCAACTTTCACTTTCACTTTCACTTCTCACAGTTCTCACCAGAACTTTCCAGTCAAGGGTAGTTCAGTAAAGTAATCCCAAAAACACCAGTTTCTACCTAAAACCAACCAATCAACACACGCCTAAAACAAAAAAATCAAGTATTCCAGATTGGCACATTTTTTACAAACCAATCAAAAGTCTTCCACGTGTCATTGACACGACATCTCGAAAAGTAAAATCACTTTTGCTTCCATTGGATGCTTCCGTAAACTGTCGGCAACTCTCGCTTAGCTGTCATTACAGCTGACAGAACTCACTCACTTTGTCGCTCTCTCATTGGCCACACAAAATTCTCCATTCATTTTTACAAATTTTCCAAGCAAACCCCTCCTTCACTAGTACATAGCATCACCACAACATTTTATATAATGTACACTATATATATATACACACACAGTATAAACACAGCCCTGTTTGTGTCGGCAGAAAATGGGTAGTTAGTTCTTGGTGTTTAAGAAATATATATATATTTTTTCTTGGTAATTTATGTTTGTAAGTTGGAGATAACGAAGATGATGAAGAGAAGATTGAATTTTAACAGTAAAATGAGAGAGAGTTCTGCAAATGCGATGACGACGACATCGTCAATGTCGAAAGAAGAAAAGGTTGATTGGGAGATGAGACCCGGTGGAATGTTGGTCCAGAAGAGAAGCGAGAATTGTTCAGATGCTCCGGCTCCGAATTTGCTTCTACGGATAGCTTACGGGGCGGTCCGATACGAGATCTCGGTGAATTCTCAAGCAACATTTGGTAAGCTTACTCAGAAATGTGCAATATATATTTATGTAACCGAGTGCCAGTCATTATCTTTTTCACTTATTTATAGTTTCTGTTTGGTTACCGAGAAAATGTAGGAAAAATAGGTGAACGCTTGACTCTTTGTTTCTAGACTGCTACTATAAGTTACAATGTAGTACGTGAAAATGGCATAGTTTTAATTTAGATCTACTTTTGTTAAATTTTCTTTTCCTACATGGTTCGCCCATCATTCCAATTTGTTTTATTGAATTTTCTCGGCAACCAACCGGATTAGAGATCTTGAACAAATGATAGCGTCTTTTGGAGGGAAAATCATGAGATTAAGTTATAAACATTTTAAAATGACTATAATGCCATCGCTGGAGTAAACTACTGCCGTAGTTTTATGCAATGTAGTACGGATGTTAATGGAAAACTTTGAGGGTAAGATTGTAAAATCGTGTTGGGTGGCAGGTGAGCTGAAGAAGCTGCTGACGGTGGAGACTGGGTTACAACCAGCCGAGCAGAGACTAATTTTCCGAGGAAAAGAGAGAGAAAATGGGGACTATCTGGACATGTGTGGGGTCAAAGACCGAACAAAAGTCATATTGATGGAGGATCCATCCAGCAGGGAGAAAAGATTCATCGAGATGCGTAAGAATGCGAAGATCCAGAGCGTACATCGCGCCATCAACGACGTGTCCATGGAGGTTGATAAGCTGGCAGAGCAGGTGAGCAAAACTCTTCGTTGTTCAATTATTATGAGAACTACGTTTCACTGGCTTATTTGTTGTATTGCGTAATTGCTGGCCGTTTGATTAGGAGAATAATAAAGAGTCCAGAAATTATAGTGGTCCTATTAAAAAGCTGTCCAGCGTCCACTTAAAGAAGTGTCACGTCGCAGTACAGATATTTGCTAGACTTTCCAGTTGTTAATTTTAATATTAATTTATATCTCAAAAAAAAAAAAAAAAAATCTTAGTCTTACACAGAAACATATATGGATATATGTATAAATAATAAAAAATCCGGTCAAGAGATTAATTTCGAGAAAAATATCCACCAAATTTATTTTTTTTAAATGCATTATTTTTTTTCAATATATATTTATATATTCATACTTCTGAAATGACAAAATATTGAAGGAGTGTCCTTAATTAGAGAGTTTATAATTTAAAAGGTCTCAATTGGAGACCACCACATATAAACACTGTAAATTTTTCTTTGTTAGATAATGTAATAACTGTGACGATTTGAGTGAAAAACAATTTACAAATTATGTGATTTCATTGACATTATTACATTGTTTTACTATTATAGTTGATTTCCTTTAATTATATATAATGTCTGACATGCAGCATACCACCCTGTTAGAATTTATATATAATAATATCATTACTATTCACGTAAATGTATTGTCTCACTACTTTATTATTTCATCAACCTATGGTTGGTTATTACTTAATGGTACACACTTGATTTATTATTGTTGTTGCTGTTCCTATTAAATCCACAGGTCTCTGCCATCGAAAAGTCAATTGGAAATGGTAATAAGGTACCCGAAGTTCAGATCACAACATTAATAGAGATGTTAATGCTACAAGCTGTCAAGCTAGATACCATTTCTGCAGAAGGAGATGCGTATGCTCAAAAAATTATGCAGGTACTATAAATTCCTTGTTCTAGTATTTTAATTTTATTTTAGTCTTAATATTTGGTATAAATTGCACAAAATATATTTTCAATGGTGAGGTTGTTCTAATGTGGCCTCAAGGTTACGAGTTTGAAACAAAGAAACAATCTCGTTATATAAAGATAAGGTTTTATACATTTGACCCTTCTCAGACTCCGTAACGACGAAAATCTGATATACTAGATTTTGCTCTTTTTATATTCTCAAACTCCAATTCACATTCTTGCATTTCAAAATTTGAACTTTTATCGTTGTATGGAACAATGATCAAACAACCTTAACGTAATATGAAAGTTCAGAGTTTATAATTTTTTAAGAAATTAAGTTGCCAGTCCATTTTGCTAATCATGCATTAATTTTCTTTTATTCATTAACCTCAAAATCTCGGGTGTCAATGGAGAGAAAAGTACTAGAAAATTGATAAACTTATCCGTATTTGTTACTGACTGATGTGACAATCAATGATTGAGATAAATACGTAGGAGATAAATTATATTCTTAAATATTGACAAGAGGCTTTGTTGGGCTCTATCCATTGAAGTCGCACAAAAAATCGATCATTTTTTATATCATTACTCAAAGTAGTACTATTGTTGAATAAACAAACCATCATTTATCTAATTTGGATTTGTTTTGTTTGCAGGGCAAGAAAGTTCAGAAATGTGTTGAAACACTTGATGTGGTGAAGGTATCAAATGCACGAATAAAGCCTGTGGTAGTGACAACCAAATGGGAGACATTTGATCCTCCTCCAACCACCACCCATTGGGAATTTTTTGACTGATTCTGATTTGCTCATTATTTATTTTTTTATTTTATTTTTTTTTTTTTCATGTATGTATCTACTAAATATATAAGCAAGCCATTCCACTTGTACTTACAGTCCCTCCCTACAACTCAGCCAATAAAAGTTGGTCATATTTTAGTAGACAACTAAAGTTTTGTTGAACATTTTGATGTGGATAATTAAGTTTAAAATCATTAATAGAACTATTTTCCTATATGTGCACCATCAATTCCATTGATACAAACAATCAAATATTGTAAATCAATTTTTTATTTTTTTTTCGTTCACAACTGCATTAGAAAATGCCTTAGGGTAGTTCACTTTTGTGTGACATGATCAAATACCATTAAAATAGATTATTGTGTGTGTGTGTGTGTGTTTTTTTTTTTCTTTTTTTCTTTTTTTCTTTTTTTTGTACTATGTTTCCAACTTGAAGGCAAAGAAGTAAGATTGAACATAACTCAACGATATATGTAAGCTGACATGTTGGAAGTTCCACCGGGTCTTCCAGCTTCACCATTGTTAATGTATTTAGCTCCTTACAAACTTTATTCTTTTTCAAGATTAAAAATGGAATTTCTAGTACCATCTCACATGTACATAAAATCAACACAATTAAGTGAATAATCAAAGAATAATTAATGATAGGGAGTCCGGCAGTCCGACAAAGTCTATTAATTTTGTACGAGGACATCAAATGTGAACTAGACATTGCTTCTAATATAGTAGTGCAAAGATTAAATTGAGACTACGACACCATTCATTTTAAAAAACAACTGATATTATAAAGCAGTCCTGCAATACCAAGATCACAGTTCATGTCTCTGTATATGCGCCACCACCTAGTTTTTTTTTTTCAATGCCACCACCTAGTTCAAAGGTTCATTTTCGTCTGTAATTTATTCTATTCCTTTATTATGTCACAGTTCATGCCTCTGCATTATATTCCCATAAATATAATGAGTTCTACTAGCACTGAGAAGATGTTTTCTGTAGAAAATTTTATTTACCTAAGGAAGTTACCTTTTCCAATAACTAGTAACACTCAACAGAAGTTGTTATTGAACAAAAATGGTGATATTTTAGGTCTTGGACCTACGAAATGGGGATATTCCCGCAACTAATACTGTAGTTTACAGATAACCAGCCAAACAGCAGGTTTATAGAATGGATTAAAATCGTCACCGATCTATACAGTGGTAAATGAATATATCATTTTTGTATTGCCCTACTATCTCGCTATATTGGTTCCACCTGCGGGAGGTATTGGGAGGGGCGTCTAAATATAGGCTTAACTACAAGTATGATTTACAAAAAGTGGATGCTCTCAAAGTTCGAAAACAAGATGCTCTGAAATTTGAATATGCATTCTCAAATTAATAGATCCAAGCACTTAGCATTGCACCAACCTATGGAGCCTCACCCTCCTACTTTGCACCAACAACAACTATATCATCAGGAGAAGGGATCGAAAATCACATTTGTACCTCAAAACATGGAGAGCGCGAAGAGAAATCAAACATTTCGGCATATTATCATTAGCTTGCCCAATCCATTCAACTTCCAAGTTCTTGTCCTGACATAATTTCAGAGAGAAAAATCATGCTAAGCCAAATGAGAAATAAATAAATAGCACATAAAAAAACTTGAATAAGAGAGGTGCAGTGATCTGGTGAACATTTAATAGCCACCACTCATATTCTGCTCCAATGATCTATAGAGAACACTAATAAGAGATCATTGTTTCATTGATTCAAGCCGCAATCACCAATTATAAACCATGGAATAAAATGTCGAACTACAAATGTTGGAAACCATGCATAACTAGACGTACTTTTGTTAAATCAAAACCAGATAGCGAAAGCAAACAATTTAATGGAAAACCTCTTAAATGCTGGTAATGTGTCATTGCAGAAACCAAGAAAAAAACAAACCAGTTTAAATTGTCATATAACCTACACTACTGAATCAGCAAAGCACAGGTTAGACGGCGATAGAATTCAGAATTACACATTAACCAGTGTTCTCTGATATAGGAAAATGGTATCATTTATGTATGCTTTAAGTGGTAGTCTTCTTAAGACTAATTCCGACTAGTCTTTTCATGATCAGAAGGTTTACTGAAAAGCTTTTTATTGCTCTATCACCGGTTCAAACCTCATGACACAACCTCCCATCATGAAGCTCTAATAAACAGTGAATACGGAATCAGGAAGAAAAAACGGAAAGAAGGCATTTGACACAAATGAAAAGTTCAAAAAAAAAAAAAATGCACAGCAACTTAAGGATAAATCTGCATAACCATCAAGTAGTAATAAAATAATTGATGGAAAGGCAATCTATCATACAGGAACAAGAAGAAAAAAAAAAAGATATAAATAAATAGGAGAACGATATAAATTTAAGACAAAAAATGAGATGCTATTAAAGCCCTTCACCGTGACCTTAGCAGTATCAATAGTATAAAATTTTAAGTTATCTACATTCTCTCTGAAGAAAATGTACTTTTATTGTCGACATTCATATGTCATCCCTTACATCTCAATGCATAGGTCCAACTCCTCCACAACACATAAAAATAAAAAAAAATAAAAATAAATAAATAAATAAAAAAGTTCAGATTCTGAAAACAATTGAAGATTTATCAATTTTCTAGAATTCCATAAAAAAGCAAAATTTACCAAAATTTTAATATTTACCTCATGTTTAATTTGATAAAATAAAAAATAACAACTGTTTTAACTTTCAAAACTTTCCCAATATGAGATGAAAAAGAGGGGAAACATATTCCTGAAATTTTGGCATGAAGTTGTATACATATGTGGGTAAAAGTAATCAAAACCAAGCAACTCAGGTATTTAAGATATTTAACTGCAACCAAAAACAACTCAACTACTGAAAATGCAATCAGAAACTAGATGGTGATCCAAAATATAGTTAAAAATAATAATACGGCATTCACACTCCATTTTTTCCGCTTGTCACTTCTCATAAGGGTGTCATTTGTCCTCCTTTTTTTCTTTCTTTTTTTTTTTTTTTTTTTTTTTTTGAAGTTTTAATTTCAGTGAGATACAGATATTGGGAACTTGAGCAGTAACTCTCAAATGTCAATCACATCTGCGGACATAGTCATAGATAGGAATAACAATTTATTCATTGAAGATTAATCGGAAGTGGAAGTAGTAATAAATTGGAGAATTTTACATTTGATTTGGCATATTTATTCATTAAATTGTGAAAATAGAATATTCAATCATTAGTAAAAGCAAATACATGTATCCGAGAGAGAAAAAAATATATATTCGAAAGCACACTCCATTTAGTTAGAACAAAGGAAGTTTGAACGATAACTTATCACCATAACAAAATTCAAATGACATTTTTAAGATTATAAAAAATAAAAATAAAAAATAAAAAAAAAAACAAAATTAAGAGAACCTAAATCTTTATCCTCATAACAAAATCAAATTACATAATTAACAAGGACACGATTCAAAAACAAACACAAACTACAAAATTTGAATTAAAGATTGATGAGCTACAGGAAACAGCTTAGAACCTCAATGGCAAACATGGGTATAACATTTCTAAACTGTGCGCGCGTGTATATCTATACTTGTGTTTAAAGAAAACCCTAAATTACAATTCTATGCTTGATAGAGAGCTTACCAGCAAAAGAGGGAGAGCGAGGGATAGAGAGAGGTAGGAGATCCAGAGAGAATGAAGTCGAAAGTTGAAAAATCAGAATCTGCATGTCTACAGGTAATGAGGATTTGGAAAAGTGAACCCAATCTGTATCTGTCTACAGGTAAGTCAGAAGGCCCACAACAATGGGACAAAAAACAAACTTAGTTTTGCCCCCACAAGGGCCCAAACCCCTAACAACAAAAGCCCAAGGCAAGTACCAACTACCAACATTCAAAATCGGTTTCTGACTATCACTCACTCTTACTGCTAATGATACTGATACCTACAGAAAGCTCATTCTAAGCTAGAAATTATTAGACAGTGTAAAATTATGAGACATGATTCCAAGTAAATGCAAACCATTCTAAATTCTCATATCAACTAGACTACAGAATCAGCAAAGCAAAGCACTAACCATTGTTATCTGATATAGGAAAATGGTATCATTCATGAGTTGAATATGAACCATTTGCAGAGTCATCTATCATTTATTGCTCTAATACACAGTGAATACAGAAACATGAAGGAAAAGTGAGACAAGGATTTGAGACAAAAGAAAAGTTTAAACTAAAAAAAACACCCTTCAGCTAGTAAAAAGTACACAGCAACTCACATCTACACAATTTTATTCAATGGTCATTGTCTGTCCCGATGAACCAGCGCTGCACACAGTAATCGGCGTGATCTCGTTTCATCTTTGATGATATGAAGCAATTTCCACAGCTTTCACAGTCATACTTCTTATGGTGGAATCTTTTGGCATGGTCTCCACTCTTCTCACGGTGCTTAAGTTGGGGAAAAGTATGACAATGCTTTGTCACTGCCTTTGCCGAGCCAAGGTCCTTGAGCGATGCCTTATTGGTTTTGCGATAGTCACACGGAAGGCAAATGAATGGAGGTGATTTGGAGACTGCACGTGTGTAGGTGGAGTAGTTGATGTATGTAGTGTGAGGAGTTGGTAGGAGGATCACAGTGGTGTTTGCCGGAGCAGAAACCCTAGCCTAAAGAAAATTCAACAAAGATGAGATTTCTCTTGAAGCGATTTGAAATTCCAAAAATTTGCTCTGAAGTGATGTTCAGAGATTTCTCTTCCATTTCAATCTGGTTTTGACTCAGAAGAAGATTTGAAATTTCCAAAATTTGCTCGGGCTTTTTCTTGCATTTCAATCTTGTTTTGACTCAGAACAAGATTGATTTCTCTTGCATTTCAATCTTGTTTTGACTCACAACAAGATTGATTTCTCTTGCATTTCAATCTTGTTTCGTCTCAGAACAAGATTTGAATTCTTTTAACTTGAAAAAGCATTTCTCATGCGATCTTGTTCTTCGCGTGATCGTAGGCCGGAACAAGATCATGAGAAATCGTAATCCTTAGTGTGATCGTCGACCGGAACAAGATTTGAATCATTTTAACTTGAGAAAACATTTCTCGTGCGATCTTATTCTTACCGTGATCGTCGGCCAGAACGAGATCGCATGAGAAATCGTAATGAAACAAATTTAAACGGTGAAAATTTAGAGATTATACC